AGCCATTTTAGAATAATCAAAGTATAAGTTTTAACCTAATAATCAGGTGAAAATTATGAATTAATTCTATTCAATCATACATACATGCTATAAAATATTTACACATAACATTTCTTTCCAGTGTTCAGGACTCTTTAAATTATATTTGTGGTTTTATAATGGAAACCAGATGATGTCCTAAAAAAGTTTTTATTTTGAATTTAAATTTGACATAAAAAAAAGGTGATAATATTTTGTGAATGGTTTAATTATTATCAACTGTGGCGCTATGTTAAATCGGGCGAATGTACAGGAAGTATTTTAAGCGTTGATTTTGTTACAGACTTAAAAAAAATATGTACGGAAGTAAATCCAAAATGGCCATATTTAAAGACACTAACAACTATTTATGGAACACCAATTACTAGTTTATTAACATGCAACGTTTCGACTATGATACTCACATGTTTATCACATATTTTTTTTACTTGATAAAGACGAGAGTATCATCTTGCAAACGTTGCATGTAATTGAAATCTTAGTAACTGAACATATAATATAAAAACACAAATTTATATGGAAAAAAAACAATCACTGGGTTTATTTCACACTACGTTTCAACAAGTTCCTCTTGTCATTCTCAAGTAAGTAAATTTACTTGAGAACGACAAGAGGAACTTGTTGAAACGTAGTGCGAAATAAACTCAGTGATTGTTTTCCATATAAATTTGTGTTTTTATAAACCAGCAATTGTTATTCTATAAATAGTGTTAGAGTGTTACTATTCAATAACTAAATGACACTTATAGAAGTTTCGACATAGACTAATGTCCAAAAGAAAGTATACACACTAAAAGTATAACTAAGTTTTGTTTAGATTAAAAACATTTGATAAAGCATTACTGAGTTTGTCTCTTGTGTCCAAACTCAACATTTCTAAGCAAAATTAAAATGTGAAACAAATTGACATTCTACCCAAATACATATACCATGGAAAAACAACTTTGGTTGATGCAGCATAAAATGCACAGTGTATACTTTCTTATGGACATTAGTATATGTATTTAAAGACACACACAGTCACAACCCCGAAACAAGCCACCTGGGAAAAATTCCCCCCAAATCTCAAACTGCATATGTAACCATAGAAAAAAAAATCCAAATTTCCAACATTTGACACAAAGAATTATGTTGACGAGTTATAATAATCCACCAAGGGACAATTTAAAGCGGAAATTGCAAATTTTCTAAGAAAGTCAAAACGTAATTATTTCTATGTCTTTTGCTCAATAGGTTGTCAACTCACAATTATACGATCATAGGTGTCATTCTCACACTTAAGATTCATTTACACAGGAAATAATAACACAATTACCTCCCTTGTTTTCTATTCTCCATCATGGAGTAGCGATATCCAAACGTTTGAAAATGAAGAGGAAAATGATATTTTTGCCAATTTCTCAGCTGGCAATAGTGAATTATAGGATTAATAGGATTATTCTTTAACAAGGTAGGACTGTTTATTTTCAGGCTTTATTTTAATAAATTTTAAAAATATAACTTAAAAATTTGCAATTTCCGCTTTAAGGGGTCCTATTCGTGAATTTTATATTATGTCGTCCACCGTGGATGCAGCATGTTGACAAATTTTCAATTCCACATATCTTTGTATACATTGAACGGAACTTAACCATTTTTGATTGATATTTCTTTTAGAGATTAAACATTCACAATATTGTATGTAGTTTGTAAAGGATTCCCCAATCCCTCAAATGGCGTTTTAAGACTTTAATATACATAAACGAAAGTCCTTTTGGATCTGAGGAGTTGGATGGCCGAATGGTTAGCATGTGTGCGCTGTATCATAAGGTCTGTCATTGAGTCAACTGGTGTGGTTTCGTTTCACCGGTTGTACGTGACAAGTAGTAAGGTCGCCCGTCCATCCTCATGGGTTTTCTCCAGGTCCTCTGGTTCCCTCCCACTGCTAAAGACCCCTATGCGCAAGTGAATTATTGAAATAGAATTAAACCATGTGTAGCCCTGAAATGACTTAGTTTGTGTTAGTGGATATTAAACTTTCTCACTCTCTCTCTCTTTCTCTCTCACATGTAAGTTAAATCAAAATTATGTTACATCATAAGTTGTTGGGTGGTTTACCTATATCCTATACTATATGGTCTACAATGGATGCTGACAAATTTTCAATTCACTCATCTTTGTAAATACTGAATGAAACAAAAACATTTTGGACTGATATTACTTTAAGAATTCAATTTTTACGTTATGTAAACTAAATTAAAATTATATGTTACATTATAAATTGTTGGGTGTTGTCACCAGCTTGTGGGATATATACATGTATCTAAAATAGAATCGTCACTTAAAACATATGGTAGTGTTTAACATAGGTCCTTCGTTATTACAGCGCTTACCATAACATACTTGTTCTTTGTATGGCAGACATTGTCATTTTTGAAATTTAAAGTGGATATTACCAAAACTGGAGCAACTGTCATGGATATTACCGAAACTGAAAGGACAATATTGGTGCCAGTCATTATCACATATGTGATGGAACTGGTTAAACACGTTCCAAATATAATTTTAACACAGAGATACATTGCTACGATAGATGCGCAATCAATGTTTTAACAATCGGAAGCCACGAACCCAAAAGGAAAACACGTGTAATCCCTCTATATAACTGACTGAAGTTAATAATTTACTCAACTTTCAATCTTTGATCTAGAAACACAAAAATTTGCACATAGTTTCTTACTGATAACATTAAAACAAGAAAGGCTTTATAAAGGGTCCTATTTTAGTTAAAACAAGGCGAACAGTTCTGAGTAATTCTCAACTTAAGTCCGAGAATGCTTTGCGGAACTGAGGCCAGAGGCTGCATTTTTATTGGTTGTTGGTTAAAATCATGTTTTACATATATATATCCATACTACAGCTTCCCGGAGTCACGCAATTCAGACATACATTTCATTCAAACATATACCTTGATAAATCTGTTGATTGCAACTAATAATAGTTTAGGCAAGCCTTGTTAATGTCATTTACATGTAAACCAAGGGTGTATACAGCGTATAAAAATCATCCTTGAGTTTGGGCATTATCAATGTGTGGTTTAATGGTGGAGAGCGAGACATTAAGTAATATTTTGATACTGCACGAGCCGTTAGCCGAGTGTTGTTTCAACATATTACGCAATGTCTTTAGCTCGAGACCATTAAACAACTTAAAATACAGACTGTATCCCGCACGTGCTTTTCATTGAAATACGTCACGCGAGTCCAATATTTCATCTAGTATAGATAATGTACGATTGGCAAGTTCTTTCCAATAATGGTACGCCAACATCAAAGGATGATTGACGTCACATCTGTATTTTAAATGCAAATACTGCACCAAATACAAAATAAATAGCATCATTCATATATATTTTTTTTTTGGTTAAAAACTAATTATTAGGTAATTATTTTAAAATTATCAGTTAAACCATTTTTAACTTGTTTTTATATTGTTTTATAAGATACATCAAAGATTCATTATATGTGTTTATAAGGATATCAATAAGTCACACCTGTTCTATTATAGTTTATAGAAGTATTTAATCAGTTATAATTAAGTATATATAACAATAGATTATATCAAACAGTAAATCTTCAGGTTAAAGGTGTCAAAAAACCACATGTTTTAAATAAGAGAGGTAGACAGAGAGAGAGAGACACAGAGAGAGAGGGGGAGTGTAACATGCACTCGACACAAACTAGGTCATTTCGGCACTAACATATGGTTCAATTTTATTTCAATAACTTGCTTGTGCGCTGTTCTTTAGTGGTGGAAGGAAACCGGAGGAGCCTGAGAAAAACCACAAGGTTGGACAGGCGACCCTACTCCTTGTCGTGTACCTTGTCAACCGGGAATCAAAATCACACCAGTTGACTCAATGACAGACCTTATGATACAGCATGCATACGCGCTAACCATTCGGCTTCCAACCTCCCCAAATACAGAAACACATAGTAGCCTAACTATGATAAAATATACATTTTATACAGTATTTATCAACAATTAATAAGAGAACTATAACACCAAAAGAATACTGGATATTTTATGTACAGGTACTACATATTTTCATCATCTATTCATAGACTATATATACATCCTCTGTTGTGTATTCACCAATAACTTACAGTGAAATATACAACCCATACTAATATGTAACACCTATGGTGTATTTATCAATAACTCACAGTGAAATATACATAAAACCCATACTTTATAATAATATACACAAGTATCTTGTGTATTCTCCAATAAACTTAACAATATACACAAGTCTAGGGGGGGGGGGGGGGGGGGTACCAACAACACAGTGAAAAATATATATAATGCATATGTTATAATATGCATTTGGCTAGATGTATGCACAAATAATCCACAATACAATATACATATTTACCAATAACTCACATTGAAATACACATAAAACCCCTATTACAAATCTGATTTTCAGTTCATCATAACATTATCTACGGATGCATTCAATGTGTTGCATTGAAAGAGAACTGAATACCGTTACAATTTTTTTTATTAATAATGATCATCATCAAATCTGTTTTTGTTGTTTTTGGATATAAGCAAAAATATGATTTGTAAAGCAGCTGGGCTGGGTAAAATAGCTATTTGTTGGGGTCTTTTTTCATTTAATAACTTACGATTCTGCAGTCTATTCATTTATCGCATGTCTATTAATATAGCATAGAGTAAAAAAAATACAGAGATTATTATTATACCCCCTCTACCACATCATTTAAATCATAGAGAGTCAAACCATGACATCTTGTAGATCTTATGATATATTTTTCATTTCAAATTCCTGACTAGTAGTAAGCTGAGGTGAGGCTTTCTTTCAGGTTTCATCTTTCTTAGTACAAAACCTGTAAGCCCACATCTACATAGGCCTACAAATCCCTAATAAACAAAAGTTTACAAATAGGTCAACTCACCATGTTTTAATTCGGACGATGACCCTATATCAATGCCACAAGTGGCCAGTAGCAAGACAGCCAAAAACGCAAGCATTTTGGTTCCAAATTGTCCTGAAAGTCCAAAAAATTCCAAATAATGTTTTGATCTGTATTTGCAGGTCACACGAATCAATTGGAATATTTCAACTTTTTGCAGCGGTTAAAGTTTGTTGTTGTTACATGAATGGTTTTATTTCTTCGTAGAATTGTTGCCACATCACCGATAAGATGTCTGGAAGTAATCCGACACCTAATTTTTGTATATAGAGTTCAAGCCACCACCTCACTCTCTTCTCTCTGACAGCCGTACTACTGTTCTCAACGCTTCCACAAGAAATCCTTTCAACGCCAAAACTAGTCGATAAAGTATTCTGGCAAGGAAATACCTCTAGTAGAAGGCGCAACCAATCGGAAAGTGGGCGTCCCCTTGTCAGCGTTGTTCGTGCTAACTGTCACACGAGGCAAGGCATTATGTTAGTTGAATTCGTTGATTGTTTTTAAAGTTAAAGGGAATTTTGTACGTAGGAATTATAAGTTAGTAATACTGTATTCATTTATGGTAATTTATTCAACTGATCGTCGAGACACAATAAGAAGTTTGAAGACGTTAAAGCTCCAGCAAGTTGTATCTAATGTTGAAGAGAGAGAGAGAGAGAGAGAGAGAGAGAGAGGGCTATATAAAATGATAATTTTCGATTTGACGAATGCATCCATTCATTAATTGTAATTTTTTCAATTGATCGCCCATAGATATTAGCTTCAAAAATGGCTCCCTCGTACTCTCTTAAAAATGTACGGAGTTTAAAGAAATCAAAGCTTCAGCAAGTCCTAGCTAATGTTAATTGGGTTGGGGTCAATTTGAAGCGATGTGACGACCGCGCATTATATATCGGGCACATTAAAATTTAACAGAAATCCTACCAGCTTTCGTTCAGATATCGACGCCAGGGCGTAACTAGCTCAGAGCAACGAGGGGGTCAGGAAGTGTTCTCAGGGGTGCTGTAAAATTGACGGACAATGTATCTATTGATTTTATGGTCGACAATTTTTTCACGGGGGTGGGGGGGACTTCTTGTAGAGGGTCTCCCCCGCCCCGCCCCTCCCCCTAATTGATCCCCGAATCAACAGTTAAAAGGGGACATATTCTGGACATCGTCAAATGCATCTTGTACCCGAGTATGGTAGATAGATGGATTTATCATTCAAAGCATACAACATTATAGAAAAACATTATAAATTACATTTTTTATCAAAAAACTTATTTGAGGGCCCCTTTTATGGTGAGACCCCTGGGTGCAACCCAGCCCCCCCCCCCTTAATCAAGTCCTGCAGGTGAATGTCGACCTCTATTTTCCATAATGAAAATATCACCATATAATCTAGGCTTTTACTCAATAATGAAACCGAGAAGAACATGTGCCGTCCATTTTCTATACAATAATTACTGACGTTTGACCCTAATCCGTCTACGAAAAGATTTTTAATGGATTTATTTATAAGGGCATTGAATAGTCTGATGAGTGTAACATATTGTATTGATATAGAAATCAAATTAAATGAAATTGGATTTAATGTCCTACTGTTCTGCTCCTATACTGGCCTACTCTTATATCGAATTCCAACTGCCAAGTGATCTTTTACGTGCACGTCAGTGTATATATGGGACCTCGGTTTTTCGTCCTATTCGAACGACTAGACAGCTGTCCTTGTCAGGCCCTCTTTCTGCACCACTGACAAGGGGAAACCAGGTCGGAAAATCTCGATGAACTTACATTCGTTCTAGGTATATTAAAGTTATTATTGACTTTTATTTAGTTACAATTACTTTTTCAAAAAATAATATAATACATAAGATTTTCAGTACTAATTGTATTATAGCTGTCTAGTCGTTCGGATGGGACGAAAAACTGAGATCCTGTGTATACATTGGCACGCATGTAAAAAAAAATCCCTTGGCAGTTGGGAATCGATATAAGAGTAGGACGTATCGCCGCTGTCTGGGAAAAATTTCCCTGATAGCATACTGCATGACGTATGGCCGTCTTCATTAGCCCAGTCGGGGCAGAACAAGTAGGACGTCAATCCCCATTTCATTTCATTTTTCCTTCTTACTCAATTACAATCATAAATTTCATGCAAAAAATAAAACCGTCGGCATTGGCCCGATTGGTGCAGACAAAATAGACCGACAAGAAAGGAAAGAAAGAAATGGGGTTTAACGTCCACTCGACACAGACTAGGTCATTTCGGGACTAACATATGGTTTAATTTTATTTCAATAATTCGCTTGCGCATAGGGGTCTTTAGCAGTGGGAGGAAACCGGAGGACCCGGAGAAAACCCACGAGGTTGGAGAGGCGACTCAACTCCTTGTCACTTTAACCGGGGATTCGTCATGGGTCACGAGATGTAAAACAGGGCTTGCACTAATCCCAACCCTAACTCTAACCCTGGACCTAGTCCCAATGCTTACCTTAAACCCAACCTACAATCTCGCCAACAATCACGTTCCCTAACCTTATTTACAGCTAACTTGACAAAAGTTGACCTGGCCTTAACAAATAGATTTAGCCGGGCTTTTACAAAGTATCTTTCAAATACTAATTGGGAAACAAAATAAGATAAGATATTTATTGTAGTGAACACCCCATTAAGGTAGTAGGGTATTAGTAAAACAAATATACATTGCAATACATAAATCTCAATACAATCTCAGCATCATAAACAATAATATAGAGTTACGATATAATAATTAAAATGACTTGACCCTCTTGATATGGGTGAATAATAAACTTATCAATTTCATAGGATTTTATATGTTAATTTCTTTTTTTTTCTTTTTTGTTATTTTTTTTGTTTGTTGGATGAGATGTCTTCAATCAACCTTTGACCTCTATAGACTCTCTCTCTCTCTCTCTCAAAAACGTTATGCCTAAAAGGATTCTGGATTTTTACGATTGGGAATATGTAGAATGAAAGATTTCTCAGGTATCCCATGCATGGCAGTTTAATTTGACTAGTATTACAATTTATTTACAAACAGAATAACAGAGGCCATTGTTATTTTTACAATTTGGGAAAATAAGGGATCCGCCATAGTGATATAAAATGGTGAGTATCGAGTTATTTCTTGGGGTATCCCCCAGCAGTTGAATTTGATATTCTTCTAGGAGAGGACTCCAAACTGCTTTAGTCTCAATGGAAAGAAATGCACTTAACCACGGAACCACGACTCACCTGGGATCCACATTGGGTCGTCTTTGACAAAGCAGTACACGGGGTCCCTTTCTAACATACATAGATTAACATGGGGCCCCTTATATGCTCATGGTGCCCTCGGGCAACTGCTCAGTGTGTCCACTGATACACAATCTACATACAAGGGACATAACTCACATTAACTTCATTTTTCTTTTCTTTCTGAAACAGATTTTATTGATTTTTATATTATTTGTGGGTGCGGCACTTTAGGTCTGCAGCACTGAGAGAAAATGGGTGTTTTTCTGGACAGTATAAGGGTACAAAAGCTTGATACACTTTAATTCTTCATCGAAAACACTGTTTTTCGCACGGGGGGGCCCGAACCCTTAGCTCTAAACAACACTCGGCAAACCTCAGCAGATTCCAGTACCCTACATGTAGCCTTGGCTATATGACGATAAGTGATATACAGTTTAGTTATTAGGAAAGCTTGCCGCTTTTAGAAAGAAGTTGTAACAATTGCGTCGTTCGAAGAGTGTGCAGAATTTTCAGTGCAAACTTGTCCTTGTCTAGAGAAAATCGGATAAACTTGAGAGAAAAACAGCTTCAGATTTTCAAATCTTTGTATGATAAAACATTCTTCACAGGCGTCGTCATACCGGGCAACGTCGTTGGTAATCCGGGAACTTGAAGGTAGTTCCAATTGCGGACTTCGTCATACAGCCGAGGCTAGATGTAGTGTTCCGGAACCCGTCGAGGTTAGCCGAGTGCTCTAACCAAGTCATTGATCAAGAACCGTCTGGCCACAGATCACTAAACATTTGCCCATTGACTTTAATGTTAATTCTCGTCTCTTAGACCGGCTCTAACTTTTTCCCAAATTTTCGTTGGGTAGAACGCTTTCTACCACAGATGGAGCAACATGTGGCGACTTCTTGCCCAAAAGCACGTATGAGGTTCACCATGGAAAACTTGAAATACACAAGCTGGAAGTAGAGACATGAAAACATGCAATTTTGGACCCTACATTACAACCTAACCAACCTCTCAACTCTTGTATCCTTCCGCCTCAAAATCATGAATATTCACCAAAACCTGGTAGAAAATGTATTTTCAAACCCTTTTCTTCGATTCTACACCAACAAGTCAACAAAAATCGCCATGCAAAAGGGAGGGAAAGGGAGAGAAAGACTAAAAATAACTTTTGCACTACATTCGTGCGTAGAAATATTTGGTGAGCTGTGTCCTATATAGGGGTGAAACTTCAGGTATCACCAAAAAGTCGTTTTTATATGCTTCCCATATGTTCTGGTAACATACCGGTGAAAGGAAATCAAAATCAAATAATAACTGCAAAAATGATGGCCCTTTAAGTATACATGCCGTTTTATGTACAGTAGTGCATCTCAGGTCCATGGGCCTTTTGTGCTAAAATTTAAAAATCTTTCTTATTAAAGGCAGTATTTGAGTTCTGTAAAAAAATTAGAAAAGTTACAAACAAATTACACAGAAAACACTCATAAGCTGGATTTTTTTTCAAAAATATAATTTTTTACTGCCATGTCATGAAAAATGTACAAAATTTACATGTAGCATCTTTAAAAACCCCCCAATTATTTTCCACTTTTTAGATAGCCAGACCGAAAAGGGATATATTTTTAGAAATCCTGGCCAATATACAAACAGAAAAATCACAAATCAGCTTCATTGATTGTAATATTAGTGATCTATACTTAAACATGTATCCCCACCCCCTAAATATGTCACTGACTGAATGAATCTAATCTTTGGTTGCAGAAGTAACATCATCAAAGCAATCTGTCTAATAGCTATGTTTTACCATCCCTGGCTAACATATGTACATATAAACTAAAATATGTGCAATAAATATGAATTATGGTTAAAAATAGGCCTTGATGAAAGAAAAAAATGCCATATTTGGTCTATGACCACCCCTCTCTAACAAAAGGGTCACAGAATACACAATTTTCACAAATTTGGGAAAATTTCAATGTTTTCAACATCTCAAGGCTCAGAGGCACCATACAAATCTTTATTGCAATTCTTGTGCTGAAGCAAGATGTCTGGACCTTTACATCAATTGCCTGAAAAAATTAAGTCCAAAAAGTAATTATGACAGAGTTGACAAGATGAAGG